CCACCACAGCCCCTACAACCACCACAGCCCCTGCAACCACCACAGCCCCTACAACCACCACAGCCCCTGCAACCACCACAGCCCCTACAACCACCACAGCCCCTGCAACCACCACAGCCCCTACAACCACCACAGCCCCTGCAACCACCACAGCCCCTACAACCACCACAGCCCCTGCAACCACCACAGCCCCTACAACCACCACAGCCCCTGCAACCACCACAGCCCCTACAACCACCACAGCCCCTGCAACCACCACAGCCCCTACAACCACCACAGCCCCTGCAACCACCACAGCCCCTACAACCACCACAGCCCCTGCAACCACCACAGCCCCTACAACCACCACAGCCCCTGCAACCACCACAGCCCCTACAACCACCACAGCCCCTGCAACCACCACAGCCCCTACAACCACCACAGCCCCTGCAACCACCACAGCCCCTACAACCACCACAGCCCCTGCAACCACCACAGCCCCTACAACCACCACAGCCCCTGCAACCACCACAGCCCCTACAACCACCACAGCCCCTGCAACCACCACAGCCCCTACAACCACCACAGCCCCTGCAACCACCACAGCCCCTACAACCACCACAGCCCCTGCAACCACCACAGCCCCTACAACCACCACAGCCCCTGCAACCACCACAGCCCCTACAACCACCACAGCCCCTGCAACCACCACAGCCCCTACAACCACCACAGCCCCTGCAACCACCACAGCCCCTACAACCACCACAGCCCCTGCAACCACCACAGCCCCTACAACCACCACAGCCCCTGCAACCACCACAGCCCCTACAACCACCACAGCCCCTGCAACCACCACAGCCCCTACAATCACCATAGCCCCTGCAACCACTAGGGCCCCTACAACCACCATGGTCCCTACAACCACTAAGGCCCCTGCAACCACCATGGCCCCTGCATCCACCACAGCCCTTACAACCACTACAGCCCCTGCATCCACCACAGCCCCTTTAACCACCACAGCTCCTGCAACCACCACAGCCTCTGAAACCACTGCAGCTTCCAGCAGAACCCCTGCAACCATAGTATCTTCCAACACAGCCCCTACAACCATTACAGCTTCCACCACAGCCTCTTCAATCACAGTAGCTTCTCCCACAGCCCCTACAACCACTACAGCCCCTGCAATGAATACAGCTTTCACCACAGCCCCTGCAACCACTACACCTTCCACTACAGCCCCTGCAACCACTATACCTTCCACTGCAGCCCCTGCAATGACTTCAACTTCCGCTGCAGCCTCTGAAACCACTGCAGCTTCCAGCAGTGCCCCTGCTACAATAGTATCTTCCCCCAAAGCCCCTGCCACCTCAACAGGTTTCACCACAGCCCCTGCCACCACTACAGCTTCCAGCACAGCGTATGTGCCCATGACAGTCTCTACTCCAGGGTCTGACCTCACCACATCCTCCACTGTATTACCTAAGACTAGTGCGGGCTCCAGCCCACCCCCTGTGATCACATCAGCATCTGTTAGTAGCATGGCCTCCACTCTGTTGTCCTCCCCACCATCCCTGAGCAGCACAGTCTACACCGTGGGCTCTGATCCCACGAAGTCCAGCACAGCCTCCTCCTCAGCCGTTCCACTCACCACAGATTTTCCCACCACCTCTGTGTCCCCTGCAAACAGCACCACAGTTTCTCAGGCCCTGACCGTCTCCGCCTCAGCCTCTGAGAGCACCACAGGCCCTGCCTCTGCTTCCGTGCCCTCCACAGCGCTCACGGGGACCTCATCACACCTGCTGGCCTCCACCTCTGCTCCCGGGGCCACAGGAGGCTTCACCAGCATCGCCAGGCCTTCCACGGGCACCTTCACCACCGTGGTGCCCACCAAGGCAGCGGACTTCTCTCCTCCGTCCATGCCCAACACCGTGGTCTCAGGTAGCTGTTGCCTCATCTGCTCTAAGCACCTCTCAGCTGCCCCTATGATCTCGGGCCTAGACTCTGGTCCAGTCTCACCACCTATGAGCTCCAATGCCACCCCCTCCTCTCCATTCCTGCTTGTTTCTGCTCCGGCCTCCCCTCCTGTGGTTAGAATCCATCACTTCCACCCAGTCAGCGGCTCTTCTGTGCGAACGTCCCCCACCAGGTGGTTACACCCAGCTCTTCTGTGCGAACGCCCCCCACCAGGTGGTTACACCCAGCTCTTCTGTGCGAACGCCCCCCACCAGGTGGTTACACCCAGCTCTTCTGTGCGAACGCCCCCCACCAGGTGGTTACACCCAGCTCTTCTGTGCGAACGCCCCCCACCAGGTGGTTACACCCAGCTCTTCTGTGCGAACGCCCCCCACCAGGTGGTTACACCCAGCTCTTCTGTGCGAACGCCCCCCACCAGGTGGTTCCACCCAGCACTTCTGTGCGAACGCCCCCCACCAGGTGGTTCCACCCAGCACTTCTG